CGTCATCGTAGCCACTCCTTTTCGTCGTGCTCTCGAAATAGTTCTTCACAAGTTTCGCAATTAAAATCATCTGGAACTACTGCGTTCACAAGTTTTCGCGTTATTAATACAAAATAGTATTAAATTTTCAAAAGCCTTTATTCGTTTCAAAGCCTTTAAAAAACCAGGCATATTATTAGAATACCCTACCGCGAAACTCTTCGGACAGGTCGATAGACTCCACTGAAATAGCGCGTTGCCAAAATATTGAAAAACAAATGAACGACTCTATGGCATTTATTTTACTAGCACAACTGAATACAATAGAACTCAGTGACTGATAAAACGCTCAAAGAAATAATGCACTCTAGATCTGCAGAATGCGAAACGGAGATTACTTAAAAAATTTAACCAGGCCCAGCTCAGACCAATTATAAAAAGTTTACTTGATATCAAACAAACGCCTGGGGTAGAATAACAGCTCTTAATAAAGGGAGGGTGGTCCATAAGGACAATTTACACTTAAATCGATTTTTCTAGAGTTAATTTTAAAATAACAAAAAATATAAACAAAACCAATTAATTGAATCAGAGATTTATCAGCAAGAAATAAATTTTAGAGTAAAAACTCGTTTAAGCGAATGACCCAAATTAATAAAAGCAATTTACAAATCAGAAAATAGATTTATAATAATTGATCTGGAAAACTTCATATTCTCAATAGCATTGGCAAAAGTAAACTTAATAAACTCAGTTGTTCAGGATGAATTGATAACAAATTAAATAATCACGAAAAGTTCAAAAATTTTAGCATTACCGATTTTTTAGAAGTGTCCTAAATAAAATTATTTTAAAACAATGATATAATACACATCCTCATAAAATACCCCAAACCTAAGAGAATTTGTATTTACCCAATACAACATAGTAATGGGATTTTAGACTTTGGGGAAGACAACTTAGTCGCTGATTGTGGTAGAAAGTCGTTTGCAATCCACCAGTCTGACGCTGCAACAGTACAATACCTACACACTTTTCTAGCAACTATGACACATTCTTTTTAAATGACTTTAGTAGATCTGTGATTTATGACCAGGTTTCAGTACCAGTATTTTTAAAGCATGACTTTTTTGACTTTTAATCTGACCTTTGACATTTATATAGAGTAAAGGGACTTCAATTAGGCATTCATAATACCAACATTATATATCTATATATCATTCGACCAATGCAACAGCCTTGGTTTAACGCTGAAATCAGAAAACACATACAGCTCCGTGACAAAGCATATTTAAGATGGAGGCGATGTAAAACTTTCAATACTTTAAATTAGTTTAAGAAACTACGCACATTAGCATCCTCAAGAATTTTAGCAACAAAAAGTTTACAATATCAATTATTTTGCCAATTTTTCCTCCACAAATAAATCTGGGCTGAACTTGGCAACATAGGCACTGGAACGTCAAAGCAAAACATTAATGCTCCTTTTGATGCAATCAGATGTACCTGAAGCTTTGTGTAATGAAGTACCTGAACCTGCAACCTTTCTGTGATAGTAGCCTTAACTTTGTGTGTATAAATTGTTGTGATGTCTTAAATCTATTCTTAAAGTAATTTCAAATGCCGAAGGTCTGGACAATATCCCAAATTTGTTAAGATTTTAATTCCTAGCGTACTAAAATAAATAATTCACATAATAAACAATGCAATAATGACGTCAACTTTTCCTTGTATATGGAAACGAGCTAAAAGGTGATAATGAATTTGGACCAATCTCTATTTAGCCTTTCTTTGCCAAGGTCCTAGAGAATACAATGGGATCTCAGATTCAATTATTGTTTGATGAAATCAAGTTCTACGAAAGAGCATTGCGTGTCTTGAGCTGACAAACACATGAGCTAACCCAATTACAATGTTGGTTAAGCGTCCTACTGTCACTAGATCAGACAAACCAACTGAGGAAGTTTCCTAGTGATGCTGATCTAAAACATAGTGGCAAAAAAAGATACTGAATTTCGTAGCCCATAAAAATTAACGGTTTAAGATATTCAAACAAATTAAATTTTTGAACATGCATCATTTTATTTTTAAACAGTATAAAAAAGAAAATGAAACATTTTAGATGAATTCTAAAAGTTAGAAAGGAAAAATAGACTGTTAAAAGTATGACCCCAACAAGATTTTTCAATTTCAATTATTTTGGGAGTTACATTTATAAATGTTTTCTAAACTTTAATTATAATTTTAAGTTCCACTGAACGGATTCCATTGAAATTTGGTATACATCTTGTGTATACTACTTATCGCGTCTGCCTCGGACTTGAAAAAAATTTTAATAATTTTTTTTTTATATATTAGAAAAGATCAAAAAGAAAATTGGTAAAAAAAAATTTTTGCTTTCAAGTCCATGTTGTTTGGTTATTTAATTATTTTTTTTTTGTTTGAAAGTGACCAACCCAATACAATGCAGGCATCTTTACTAATGAAAAATTTGTTGGATTTTTATTTTCCGATCCCTTAAAGAACTGAAATCATGTGAACCAGGACGCAGCGATTTGAGGAACAGGTCGTGTTTCATGCCCACAGTTTCCGTCAAAATGTGTTCGGTCGACCTCCTGAATGCTAATTGGGCGGTTTTCCAAAACTAAATTCTTCACGGAAGCGATGTTTTCATCGGTAGTTGAGGTCGATGGTCGTCCAGAACGCAGCATGTCACTTACGTTTTCACGGGCTTCTTTAAAGTCATTGTGTCAAACAAATTTACGATTTTGTGACATAGAGTCCTCACCAAAGGCTTTTTGCAACATTCTGAGCGTTTTCGCTGCAGAAAATCCATTTGAAACACAAAATTTCACACAAACGCGTTGTTCCAATTTTTTATCAATGGTAAACAGTAACTAATGTATAGTAACTAAAGTATATTGGATCTCACACTTTGACAGAATATCAGAACTAGTGTTACCAACTTACACAAAAAAGATTTTACCGAAAAAAAGGCGGCTTTTTTAAATTGAAAATTACCGGAACTTTTTTATCACAATGTCATTAAAAAGGTATTTTTAAATGCTAATCACGAAGTCTTACCATAATTGGTCTAAATAAAATAATTTAAAAATTATTTAATTTTATTTTTCTTTTTTACTTTTTTTTGCAAATTTTTAAAAATTGTTAGAGTCGTTATTTTGATCTCACACTTTGACAGAATATCAGAACTAGTGTTACCAACTTACACTAAAAAGATTTTACCGAAAAAAGGCGGCCTTTTTAAATTGAAAATTACCGGAACTTTTTTATCACAATGTCATTAAAAAGGTATTTTTAAATGCTAATCACGAATTCTTACCATAATTGGTCTAAATAAAATAAGTTAAAAATTATTTAAATTTTATTTTTTACTTTTTTTACAAATTTTTAAAAATTGTTAGAGTCGATTTTTGTTTAAATTTTACGTTTATAGCCCTTGATATTCCTCTACTTTTGGTATATAGAAAGTGTATTTATTTATTCATTCTTCGTCTTAAAATTTGAAATTAGATGTTTTATGTTGAAGTTTTGACTTTTTTACCTCGTTAAGATGTTTTTGTTTGATTTTTAATTTTTTATTTTTATTTTTTTTTTAGGATAGCTCTAACAATGGTAAAAAATATATCCTGTAACTTCTGGAATTAATACAAGAATTTCAGGACTGATTTCAATAAATTCGTATACATACATATATGTAAAACATTTTACTGCTACCACTGATCTGATTTTGTAAACAAAAATATAATGTATGCTGAAATATTAAAAAAATATATTATAACAAATAATATTCACATTTTTATCATAACCCAAGTTTAAAAAGTGGCAAAAGACAAAATATTCTTAATGCGCCGAAATGAAATAAACGTACACATGCTCCCGTGTCTAAGAATGCATGATCACGCATACATACAAAGAGGAATTCAAGCGCAGGGCAACCTTCTTCAAAATGCGACTCTACGACTGAACAGCTCAACTCGTGCAATGAGTGCGCGAGCATAAAAATGAGAATAAGAATGAGAGAGCAAAAAACACAAATGCACACGAAGTGCAGGGGCCTGATGCTGTGAGCACGTGGGGCCTCCCGCTTTCATTTTTTTTGTGTCCAAATTCGCTGTATGAAATGACCAGTCTATATGTTGTATGGTTAGTGCTAAAACTTAGAAACGTGATATTTTGTTTGATCCAAAAGCCTCCACAGAAGCCATAACAATTAAACGAAAATTTAACAAAATGTTGCTGAAACAAATAGTTAGTGTTACTTCTGTTTCAATGTCGTATATCTTAGTGGAACAATAAAAAACGGACTCTGATGCACTTTTCTGAAAATTCCCATATTAAAAATGTTTTTCATTTTTTTTTTATTCCTAAAATTCAGGCTTCTATACCAGAATACTCCCTTAAGGAAGGATTCCCGTTCTCAGCGAATCAAAATGTTTTTTCCCTCATTTTATTTTAATATTTTTGAGACAAAATTTTGCATTTACATTTTGAGTATTATTATAAATATAAATCGTCGTTTTTTTGTAACCACGTTTTTAAACCTCAAAAGTATTTAAAAATGTTGCGATTACAAAGCATAATAGTTAAAATTTATTGATTACATATTCATTAAAGATACAAAACACATGGAAAAACGAGTGTTTGGTTTCTATATGTCGAATTTAATTTTATTAAGTAATCTTTCTTAAAGTTTTAATTGAAATTATTTTTGTTGGCTGTAACAAGAAAGGCGCGTCTATCTGCTTTGTTTAAGGTCTCTATTGGCAGAGACCTAAGACCAACATTTTGAATTTTTTTAAATGAAAATAAAAAAAAATAAGTAGCATTAAACCCAAACGCCTAAAATGTTGAGATTTTAAGACCAATGTACGGGAATCCCTGCTTAAAAATAATGTTTTATATTATTCCCACTTGTAGAATTTTATACAAAACTAGTTGTTTTACTGTAAGAACTAGATTAATTTCGGTGTTTGTTTCTTCTACGAACAGTTCATCAATGTTTTTTAAGACAGTAGCTTAATTTATTTTATTTCTCTTCGGATTTTATATTTTTCATAATTATTATCATAAATGTTAAATGGCTGCTATCCCGATCTCGAAAACACAGTATTCATCATAATAAAATAACCATTTATTGCTGATTATTGGGATTCATTTGTCCATTGACGATAGGTAAAAAATATGGATGAGCCATAGCTTCACGAGCTGTAAGTCGGTCAACGTGATCATAGCGCAATAGTTTATCAAGAAAGTCCAGTGCTTCAGGAGAAACTAAATGTTGGTTGTCAGAATGAACAAACCTTTCCCATCTTTTTCGTGAGTGGCGTTGTAGAATGTCGTGAAATCTTGGATCTAGGTCAATATTATATTTATCTAAATATGCGTAAAGCTCTTCGGTGCCCAGCACCTTAGCAATGCGTACCAATTGATCATAGTTGTCGTGGCCATGGAAGAACGGCTCTTTTCGAAATATCATCGACGCCAACATACAACCCAATGACCACATATCGAGTGAATAATCATACATCTGGTAATCTACCAGTAACTCGGGACCTTTGAAGTATCTTGACGCCACACGAACATTATACTCCTGACCGGGATGATAAAATTCGGCAAGTCCCCAATCTATAAGACGTAATTTTCGATTTTCATGATCGATCATAACATTATGGGGTTTCACATCGCGATGCATTATTCCCATACTGTGGCAGTAATCAAGTGCTTTAAGAAGTTCAAACAAATAGTAGCGAATCTCATAATCAGTTAAAGTTTGGTAAAGTTGTTTAAAATCCGTGTTATTGACATGTTCGAAAATTAACGCCGGAGTTCGGGAAACTGGATCTTTTACAACAGCTAACAGAGTTATTATATTAGTTCCACCGCGCAAGTTCTCCAAAATTTTGATTTCACGCTTGATCTTCTTCTTTTTTACAGGTTTTAGAATTTTAACAACGCATTTCTCTGTGGTCGTAATATTGATAGCCTCGAAAACCTCCGAATACTTTCCACGTCCTAATTTACGAACCAATTGGTAATCGTCTTGATTTCCCCAATCAACAACATAGTTTTCATAGTCCCAATATTCATCTGGCTTGTGCGCATTCACATCTGTGTACACACGAGCTGCACTTGGAAGTGTCATTTCTTTTAAAAATTCGACCTTTTTTTGTTCTTCTGCCTCAAAACTCCGTTTGGTGTGTATGTTTTTGTGAGCTGACTCCGTTTTCAGTCGATTGGTCCTAGCAACAAAACTTATATTGTACAACAGTCTGAAAGTAAAAAAGAACAAAACTTATTTAGTGAGTAATGTATTGATCAGGGGCCAAATTCCGAAACTTCCTTTCGAAATTTTAAATATCGCTGTTAGCCCAGGTGAACTCTTTCAACATGATATGAAACCATATTTTATTTATTTATTTTCGTATAGATACAAGTTTCTAGTATTTAACAATATTCAGATTTTTGTACGTCACTACATGCCTTTAAAAAGTAGAAGTGTAGAGATAAAGATTTAACAAAATAACGAATACTTGGCAAAACAACAAATATATCATAAACTTCAGTCTTGGAGTTACATAATTAACGATTTGCACAGACCTACGAACTAAGAGATAGTTTTACTTTTTGCAAAATGGATACTGTTGCCAAGACGAGATGTTTACCCATTGTTCCCAGAGCGGTTCGAGCTTGAAATAAAATATTTGAAAGATATTTTGTAAGATGCTTGCAAAAACTAAAAAATCGGCATTATTACTTTTTCCAAATTGGTTCGGGTTTATTATTTATTTCGTTGCTTAAAATGATATTCGAACCTTATTTGACATATGGATTCGGCTATATTTTGTAAGCCGAGAGAAATATTTTTTTTATTCCTTCAGCAATCCTTAGTTAAAAAGAACAACGACAAAATAGGAAAAAAAACCGAAAAAATCGGTTTAGTGCGGAATTTAAAGAGGCTTAGTGTGCATATATCAATAAAACTGATTTGACTGCTTGAAACACCAAACACCGTGTGTAAAAATGTAGCAGTTTTAGATTAGCACATTTTCCTTATATGAAGCCAGTAATTTGAGTGGGATATTTTTATTTGGACGTTAATGCAGTACAAACAAGTGGCCCTTACGACACCAAACGGAGCCCTCTTCCCCTCCGGGAGTAAAAGTTAGATCAGGAGGGGTGAAAGAAAAGGGACGGTAGAAGAACGGACATACTAATTCAAAATATATACCAAACTAAAAAACCAACTAATATCACACATGGCGTGCTAAAAAAGATAAGAATTAAGAATAAATTGGTAAAGAGTCAGTAGTAGAAATAATATGATAGTTCTCTAAATGGTTCATGCATATCATAGTTTAATCTACAATATTTTAAAATAAGAGGAATATAGTTCCTAGTGATACGATGAATAAGTTCAAAAATAAATGTAATACCAAGGCGTTACGTCAAGATCCGTTTGAAAGTCTGAGTTGCGGCAAATATACCAATATTGCACTTAGACATTCTTTCTGAATAGAACGGAACGTAGCTGCATATGTCGTTTGGAAAAACTGCGCAAAAGGATCGGCAATTGCCTGATCAGTGATAGCGATGCTGGGTAAGAGGCGGATTTACGCTTATTGTTAACAAAATTATTATAAAACGAGTTAAAAAAGTCGTATAACACAGCGCGTAAAGCACGGTAAAATTATGTATCTGGTAAAGGCAGCTTGTAATATAAAACTCTATATTTATTATAAAGTCTGGAATTAACATATTTTTTGAAATAATATGAGGTTTAAGGATAATGTAACGGATCATACATAATAAAGAAGGACTTTAATGCACTATAAAAGATACTAACGGCCTCAGCCATGTTATTGGGTGTACAAGTAGAAAACCGCCGTTTTCCACTGGGTGGCGCCACCTTTGGAAATCGGTGAGGGAATTTCGATCAGAAGCATGGCAAGCTTAGGTATCGGTCAACAACTCCACATCAACTCGCTTGAACCGAATAAGCGTCATTTGCGGGAGATTTTGCTTCTCGCGTTTCATTCGAAAAAATCTGCTGCTGAAGCGCGTCGAATGATTGTAGCAACATACGGTGAGTCGTGTATCAGTGAAAGAACGTGCCGAGAATGGTTCGTGAAATTCAAAAATGGTGATTATGACGTGGAAGACAAGGATCGGCCGGGTCCCGTGAAAAAGTTTGAAGATTCAGCTTTGGAGACTCTGTTGGATGAAGATTCTTGTCAGATACAACAAGAATCCATCACAGGAGCTCTCTATTTTGAATAATCAGTATGTAGCTATTTTAACGCAATAAAGCCTCAAACTATGAAAAAACGGCGGTTTTCTACTTGTACACCTAATATATAGATATACAGATATACATGTGTTTAGCGGTAAAAGTAAGTCTTGCGAAAGCAGTGGATTCGCTTAACATATTTTTCAGATTTTTCCTTATGCTCTGATTCATCAATAGTCAGCTCTAAAGTTGCATCCCCAGGTTGCATAAAGGGTGACATATTGATAAGATTCTTGGATTTTCCACAAAACACAAATCCAGTAAACGTCCTAAAGAATTCTGAACATGGTTTACTTGAGATAGCGCAATGTCAAGTAAGCCATTTAGCTGCGCTAATAGAAGTAAAATATTTGTTTTTTCAGGCGGGGATCAAGTCGCATTCGGTATATTAAAATCACCTAAAACTATTAACTGATCTCTATCTGACAGTTCTTTAAGAATCGACTGAATAACGAAAAGTTGGTTCGCAAAAATCGGAAACTCAGATGCGGAATATATGAACAACTTTTTTTTCCGATTGTTCCTATGGGAGCTATATGCTATAGTCGTCCGATCCGGTTCGTTCCGACTTATATACTACCTGCAATAGAAAGACAACTTTTGGGAAAGTTTCATGCAGATAGCTTTAAAACTGAGAGACTTGTTTGCGTAGAAACGGAAGGACAGACGGACGGACATGGCTAGATCGACTCTACTAGTGATGCTGATCAAGAATATATATACTTTATAGGGTCGGAAACGTCTCCTTCACTGCGTTGCAAACTTCTGACTAAAATTATAATACCCTCTGCAAGGGTATAAATATCTATATATATATATATATATATATATATATGTATTTTTTTCCTACATAATGTATTGTCAAGCCTCTTCTTTTCTATTTCAGCAGCAAAAAAAAAAGTTTTGCATACAATAAGTGGTCTTTAAAAGCAGTTTTACTATGACAGCTCACTAAAAATTTTATTAGGGAGGTTAATATTGAGAGACCGATTCCTTGGTTCTGTTGAGCCGAACAATCGGACCGAAACCTGCGAGCGAAACGAAGAAGGTGTTTCGTTCAGAGAAAGATCTACTGTTTCGCCAAAGTTCAGACTGCATTGGACAAATCGGTTTACAGTTATTTGCGAGCTCTACTACAAGACCTCGTTCATCTGCACTCTGCATTGGAATATAATTGTTTTTAATAACCGACTTATGCAATAATCTATGATTAAGAATATATATACACCCAGAAATCGATCACGTTTTAAGTAGCACCATCTGTCAAAACTACACGATAAGAGCGAGGGTCACCCAAGTCCCATATATTTTTCAATACATATATAATAACTTCTGAAATAATAGTAAAATTTAAACAATTTTTGTGTCGGTAGATATAACGGAAACTTACACCCAATTCTCTGAGTGACATGACAGGGGTCGTCAGATTGGGCGTACACCAATTTTGAATTAAATTTGCGATGCGAAGACTTATCTAGAATTTAGCTTTTATTGTTTCCGAGGTCTAGACATTCATACAGAGAGAGACATGACCAGATCGAACCGGCTACCAAATCAAGAAAACGATAACTTTTTAAGGTTGGAAACGCTTCCTTTTACCTGTTACATTATTTTCAAATAATACTGGAAGTAAAAGTAAAGGGTTTAGCAATAATTTGGCTCCGATACTGCGTTTAAAAGATATCACTATGGACAGCAGACGATGGGCACCATTAAGCGTACGCAAAAAGACCTCTATAGTTTGTGGATACTAAAAGTTTTAAAAAGTCATTTGGTTTTGGAAAAATGGGAGTGAACGTGCAAAAGAAATTTTGTCTTCTATTGGAGCCACCAGCCCGCCCGGTGGAGCAAAGTCCCCACAATTATCTCAATCCGATACTAAAAGATAATCAGTAAACAAGGCAAATACAGCATTTTTGAAATGAGAACGTTTTTCCGTTTTAAGTTTGTATGTGGCTATTAAAGCGATATTTTAGGGTCCAATTTTGCTGTATATGGCAGCTCGAGTTGAAAATTTTTTGTTCTACCTCTTCTTGGAAAGCCCACTAGTTCAGCGGGAAAACGGATACAAAAACTAGATTTCACACGTCAACAACTTCCAAACTTCCATTTACGTGCTATATGTCGATAAAAAAGTATTTTTAAGGGCTTTTTCCTTAATATATTTTCGTTAAGTAGAAATAATAACAAAATTATAGTCAAAATTAGGTTTTTGTGTTCACATTTTAGTTTTTTTGAAACTGCCAGTATAGATTTCTTTTTATTTTAGAGCTCTTAAAGCTTTTGAGATTACAATTTTTATACCCTTGCAGAGGGTATTAAAATTTCAGTCAGAAGTTTGCATCGCAGTGAAGGAGACACCTCCGACCCTATAAAGTATATATATTCTTGATCAGCATCACTAGGAGAGTCGATCCAGCCATGACCGTCTGTCCGTCCGTTTCTACGAAAACTAGACTCTCAGTTTTAAAGCTATCTGCATGAAACTTTCCCAAAAGTTGTCTTTCTATTGCAGGTAGTATATAAGTCGAAAGATCGGACGACTGTAGCATATAGCTCCCATAGGAACAATCGGAAAAAAAAAATAAAAAAAAATTATAACTTTGGTGTTTCTTATTTTTTTTTTAGTTCTTCGACATTTAGTAATGATTTATTATTTCAGAATTACGGTTTAAATTTCATCAATATATTGTCAATATTGTTTAAGTTTCATTAAAATCGGACGACTATATCATATAGCTCCCATGGAAACAATCAAAATATATAAACAAATTTTTTAAAAATTTTTTTTGTCTTATTATTAATTTGGCAGTTCAGAATTACGCTTTTATTTAATTAAATTTAAATTTTTTATTTTATTATCACAGGAACTATCGAATAATTAAGCTGCAAATCATCATAGCTTCAATGTTTTTAAACATAAACGCAAGTAAATCATAATTTAACTATAAAATATGAATGAAGTATTAAAAAAATAATAAATCTTAAAAGACAAAAAAAATATTAAATCATGTTAATTTTTTTCCGTATATTCCCATAAGAGAAAATGATATAGTCGTCCGACCCGACTTGTATACAGCCTGCAATAGAAAAAAACAACTCTTAGGAGTTTCAAGCAGACAGCTTCAAAACTGAGTATTTCTGCATACTCAGAAAGACAGTGCTTTAATGATGAAAGCACTTCAAAAGCTGGTTTTGATACTGCTTGAAAGCTAAAGGACAAAAATTTTATTGACACCCAAAACTCGCAAATTACTGTTGACCGTTTTTTCCTTACGCTCTGCTCGCGATAACAACCGAAAAAAAGCTTCCTCCTTCTTTCGCTCTCTGAGCAGTAGACTTCGTTTTTTTTCGTTTTGGTTTTCTGTTGACTGCACAGAGATTTACTAAAAGACAGGTTGATTGAAAAAGTAAACGCAAACGGTCTTTTCATTGTTCTTAAGCGTAATTCACAAAGCCAAGTGAATCGTAGAACCCACGAAACTTCAAATAGAATCGTCGTTCAAGAGCAAACGGCCCGGGATTGAGCAGAGCAAAAGAGAACGGAGAAAACCGCTCGTCGGTTAAACGCGAGCAAAATTTTGTATACGAACAATGCAATCGGTTGCTTCTGGAGTGAAGAAAGGTTATTTCTTATGAAACAGTACTGTAAAATTTTCATGCATTGTCAGAACTGTGTGCTACGGTTTTTTTTTCAATAGTCCGGTTTTTATTGTAACAAGGTTTTGGCGCTTTGCAGTAATAAGACTGTAGTTTCAAACAAAAACTTTTGAGATTGAACAAAAACAACTCTTGACGAGGTGAGAATAGGGTGATCATCGCACCTTCAACTCCAAAAATTTTTTGATATGAAAATTTGTGACGAATATTATTTATTTTACCTAAAACAAAAAAAAAACAAAGTGTAGTTATTGCAAAAATTAAACGCTCTTCAAAACATCTAAATTTCGACTAACATGCGTATATGCATAAACAAAAAAGATTTTCAGCTAAATTATTCGATGGGTTTTCGGATTTCAATAAAATTAAAAAAGTAATTTGGAATAAATAAACCATTAATAAACGCAAAAGAAAAAAATAAGTAAAAAAATAAAGAAGATTTTTTCATTTATCTATTGAATTATTCCGATTGTTTCCATCGGAGCTCGTCGGATTTTGACCGAAATTAAACCGTAATTTTGAAATACTAAACCATGGATATATCTCGAAGAATTAAAAAAGAATTATTAAAAAAGAATTATTAATTAATAATTTTTTTTTTTCGAATGTTCCTATAGGAGTTCTATGCTATAGTCGACTGATTTTGGTCAAATTTAAACCGTAGCTCTGATAATAAAGAATGATTATGTATATCTTTAAAAACTAAAAAAATTAAAAAAAACAACAGTTACAATTTTTATTTTTTTTCCCCCAATTGTTCCTATGGGAGCTATGTGCTATAGTCGTCCGATCCGGCTCGTTCCGACTTATATACTACCTGCAATAGAAAGAGAACTTTTCAGAAAGTTTAATGCAGATATGTAGCTTTAAAACTGAGAGACTAGTTTACGTAAAAACGTACAGACAGATCGACTCTCCTAGTGATGCTGATCAACTTTATAGGGTCGAAAATGTCTGCTTCACCGCGTTGCAACCTTCTGACTGAAATTACAATACCCTCTGCAAGGGTATACAAATTAATTTTATTTAATTAGTTTCGTAATCGGCACAAACTGCACAACAAAATCCGCCTTTAAATAAAGTGAATGTTTATAATTTAAAATATATACAATCGTAAACTAAGTAATAATCGTCACAAAATTTGACATCAGAAATTGTTGGAGGTCAAGGAGCGATCGTCATTTTGTTCTAAATTCGTCAGGTGTTTTTGTTTGATAAATTATAAAAAAAAATCCCAAATATCCTTATTGGATACATTTTCTCAGCATTATTTACACTATTTTTACCCCATCTACCACTTAGCGACTTGTTACTTTTATTGACTTTTAATACAATTTTAATTAAGTTAAGCAACAAAAAAAAGGTTCAAAAAGGTTAAAATCTTTTTAGATGTATAAACTTACAGTACAAGGTTATTCGTAAATTAAGTGGCCATGGCATATACATACATATGTATGTACATCCGTACATTTATTGCTATACAAATGATTAAACGTACCCAAATCTTGAAGGTTCATAAGAAATAGGCGGCCGCCAAAAAGTTTTCCGTAGGTTTCCGATGGAAAATCGAAATCGAACGCAGGGTATGTTCCTTAGAGTTTTGCACTAATTTATATAATACGAAAGTTTACTGATGTATATATTGGTTTTACATTTAACTTCATATGAATCCAAAGATTTAAATGTCCATGTATTCTGCGTACAAAAGAAACTAACATACATATATTTATGTATGTGCATTCGTATTTTTAAATGTATGTATTCATAAGAATGTAGAGAAGTTTTACCAAAAAAAAAATATATATTTAGACCATTGTTAAATGCACGCACCAATATTATCATGACCTTTATTATTTTACGACTCAAATTTAGGTATACTTCATGCAAAATTCACCGGCTTTGGTTCTGTAAAAAACAATTGTCTGGATATTCTTCCATATGTATGTAAATCGCCTCGCTACATAAGAATACAGGTATTCTCCGACTACAAATATAATGCTTGTGTTAGTATGCATAACAAAGATTGGTCAACTATTCATACATTAAATAAATCCATATTTTGAATATTTTATTATTTATTTTTAATACCATGCGGAAAGATACTTACGTCTTACTAAAAGGCAGCGTGCTTGGTAGTGACAATTTTGTGTTTTAAAAAGGTTAACTTAACCGCTGTCTATTATAGAAATGGTACTGCATAACAACACAGGAGTAAGTCGAGGCAGGTCAAGAAATTTTTGTATGTGTAAGAAACGATGGAATTGAAGCCAAAACGATTCACATACGTAAATTTATATTGATTAGGTTTGTTCCCACAGACCACTGGATGGTTCGTAATGTCCTAGTTTCACGGAGCACCATCCATCATCTCATTGAAAGGACCATCTATTTGCCCAGTGTTTAAAAAACTGCAATCGAAGTAGCAAATGTCGAAAAATGTTTGTATTTTCTGCTTTGACTGCTTACGACTGAGCTGTTTTTTCTGCTTCTGCTCATGGAAAAGCAGAAGTCTCAGTCGAAGCAGATGCAAAATTTCAAAAGCGACAAAAATCAAAAAGCAGCAACAATCGTTGTTTTTCGTTTAAGTGCTTTCTCCTTTGCTTTTGCTCACAGTTATGAGCGTATGTCGGAGCTGCGGTTGGCATCGACTTTCGGATTTAGTCAGAAGTGGCAGTTGGACATATTTGCTTAAAGTCGCTTTTGTTTGTATTTCAGCAGATAATGACATTAAATGTCAAGCGGCAAGCGCAATCGCTTTGGAAAATGCCATTAATGCCTTGGAACTTTTTGAAAACAAACAAGATCTGATTCAAAGCGATTAATAGTAATATATATATTAAGCCGAGAGTTTTTGTTGGTGTATTTTGTCTATTTCTTTCGATTATGTCGTGTGCAAATCGCTGCTCCGAGGTCATAGCAAATGAAAGGAAGGAAAAAATTCACCATCGTTTGCTTGCTAATTTTTTTGATTTACGCTGCTAATAATTAACAAAAGCGACAAAAAGCAAAGCTTTTTTTTACTACTTTATAGTAGAACACATTTTCTTACTAAACGACTTTCGAAAGTCGATGCCTGCCGCAGCTCCGACTTACTCTCATAACTGTAAGCAACAGCAAAGAAGCTAGCAATGAAACAAAAAACAGCGACTGTTGCAGCTTTCTGATTTTTGTCGCTTTTTGATATTTGCATATGCTTCGACTGCGACTTCTGCTTTTCTAGGAGCAGAAACAGAAGCAATATCATATGAATAGATACTCATAGGGTATTTCCACAGAGATCTATCCTCCTTCCACCAACCGTAGAAGGGATAGTCCATACGGTTTTGACGTTCCAAAAACTTCCCATTTAGTCCGACGTTAAAATTTGACGGATCTAAAAAGCTGCAGCTCCTCAAAACATAAGCAAAAATGGTTGACCTGTTGACTTTGTTTACGCTTTGACGAACCACAGCTGAAATCGAAGGTGGAAGTGCTCTGTGGAAAGTTTCACATTAGTTGAAATTCCAACCGTTTCCAACGGATGTACTGTTAGGAAAAAGGGGATTGCTCCAGTTTTTCAAACTGTGAACCAGAGGCGAGTTCAAAAGATAAAAAGATTAAGACTAAAAGTTCAGATAAGCATTTTACATCTAATCCATAGCATTTCATTAAAATAAGAGCCGGAAAAAGACTTATAAAAGAGTTTGAAAGATTAAAAACCGCCTGAAAAAATTATGCATACGCCACTGTGACTTTTGACGGACGGTGGATGGTGGATGGGAGCTCCGTGGAAACACCAGCCACTATCCATCAAAAATCCCAACCGTTTCGTTTGGGTGGGTTCTGTGGGACTGGGCTATTTAGTTTTTTTTCGTCCAACACTAAAATCTTGACTCAAGACAGGTTAACCAAAGGCATCTATCTTTAGAAAATATTGCAAATGGTTGAGTGAACATTTAATTAATGGCTTGTACCTACCTGTATTCAAAATGCTGTCTGGGTGAACTTTAACCTCCCAATCCTCCTTCTTTTGCGACCACGGCTCTGGCTTACAGAAACAAATATGGCCGCCATGTCAATTCAAATGCATAGGCCCCAAGACATTAGCGTTGCACAGTAAAAAAATCGACTAAAATGTGCGGTTGGAAACGTCAAATCCACAGTCAAGGAATAAAAGGGACATTTTTTGGCACGGCAAATCTTAACAAACCATATTTAAAAGAGATGGTGGAGGGTGCCCTGTGGGACTTGGCCATTAGATCCAATACAAGGGTCTTGGTCCTTGCCAAAAATAATTACTGGGGTAAGGTAAGAGAAAGAAATAAGAAACTCTATTAGAAGTATTTATTGTTCAATTTTCTTTTGTTTTAATGCTATGGATTAGTGGCTAAATTGTTTTCTAAACTTTGAAGTACTGGCTAATTTCTACTCTGTGTTCAAATTACAGCCTGGACTTCAGAGTTGCACCTAAAAACATCGGCAAGAATCATGCGGTTAGGACCGTAAATTTCACAGTCAGGGAATAACCGGGACATTTTCGGAGCGGAAAAACCTTCATTGCAAAATATGGTGGATTATATCCATGTGCGCAAAAGATGTTGGCATGTCACAAATTAACCACAGATTCTATACGTGGGGAAGTCAACAATACTTTGCTTCTGTTTATTGTTTATTAATTAGCCACAGTTTTGGGAATTGACAATCAGATTCTAATATTTCCTACGCAGCGCAAGCTTATGTTAAGCTACAGCTGCAATTACATCGACAGTAGCACAATCGATATTTTTGTTATTTTGCGAATAAAACGTCAATACTATCGGAATAATATCGTTCATAGCTAAACTTTAGGGGTATTCACGCTAAAACGAGTATACAGTGTGAATTACTTCAGCAAAATAATCTTGTGAAAATAAGGCAATTATTAAACTAACAATTTGCAATATTTACACATAAAGTTAAACTTGTTGTATTAGTTTTAATTTAAATTAAACCTTAAGGAACTATTTGTTTGTTATCTTTGACATAATAAAATCACCTTTTCCTTTGTATGGAACCAGTTTTTGTTTATAAACAGTAGCTAATTGGCTGCCTTTTAGCCAATTCACATTAAAGTGTTTTCTGGCGGAACGATGGGAAATTACGAAAGACCCTTAAATATTTCAGTCGAAAACGAGAATTTCAAGTGATGTACAATTTTTAAAGTAATAACGTGATAGTCTAAAAAAATATCGACCGGGAGCCAACCCTCGATACTTTCGATAGAACCATCGATTTTTTTGCAGGTTCAATTAAAACCGGGGCTACGGCCACTCTAACGCCCAAAAATCGCGAAAGTCTGTCACGCCACTCTGAGATATGTTAGACCTAAGCCATTGGACTCTGTTTGTGATCATGTTGATCATAACTGAAACTTTCGAAGGCCGATAATCAGCTGCTCGCCCTTATAAGTCCTTCTTGAAAGGTGTTCAAGGAGAGAATTTGACTTGACGCGGACACTGGACGCCTTTGCTTCAGACAGCGGCGTTCGTTAGCAAAATATCTGCGTTTCGTGCAAACAATCATGAGTCTTTCAGCGGCTGCAAGTTCCGGGGCCTCTAGCCGGCCCCCTGGGAGCGGCGATTGTTTTCAACACCGATGGACGAATCGCTGGACATAAGCGAGAGCTCGCAATGTTATATCTAATTTGGAGAAGCGCTCTAAGATAGCTTCTGAAGGCATGGACGGCACATGGACTTTGACTGCCCGCTTTTCTATCTCGGTCACCGGTAAGTCGGTGCCATGGGCCATTGCGTGGCTGTTGCAACAAAGTTGCTGCATCTGTGGATTGGGTTTTCTTTGTAACCCTTTTGGCAATGAACGTCGTCCAATGACACGCGGGCTTGGCTAACCATGCGACACAGTTTTGACTGGCGCAACGCGTGTCTTGGCCGTGAGTAGGTTAACTACTATAGTATGCTCCATCTCTACACGCACATAAATCGCAGCCCCGTATGCTTTTTGCGAGGCGTCACTGAATCCATGATGCTCTACGCGGAACTCTGGGCGAAAGGAGACCCATCTCAGAACTCGATCCTGCTATAGGACCGAATAGCTCTGGAGAAAGCTGCGCCATTTTTGGCATAACTCAGCTGGAAGTTCGTCGTCTCACCCTAACTCCTGAAGCCAAATCTCTTGCATACATTTCTTGAATTCTCAGTTGATAATTGTGGTGGGACGGAAGAAAATTCGTCGGACGTCGCTTTCCAACGCACTCCGAGAGTTTTAACTGTACTTTCGGTGTCGACCTCGAGGAAATCTGTGTTCAGAAGATGATCGCTATGGATGTGAGCTAGAATTTCTTTGTTATTTGAAGTCCACTTTCCTAATGGAAAGCCCGCGAAATCTAGGGCACTTTGTAGCTCTCGTACAATGAGCTGCGCGTCCTCTGCGGAGACAGCTCCCTAAAGGACATCATCTAAATATGCTTTTAGATGACTGAACTGCACGACAGTCGCCAGCTGTTGAAGAACTCGAATCGCCAGGAAGGGCGCACAATTCATTCCAAAAGTCACCGTTTTCAATTCATAATCCCGAATGTACCCCTCGCTATTGCGAAATAAGATGCGTTGGAACGGGGCATGCTTCGGATCTACCCAGATCTGTCGCTACATCTGCCCGATATCGGAGCTATGGAACTATCGGAAATATCGGGATATAGATGGTAAGGTCGGAATGTAATACTGGCCCAGCATGAAGGATATCATTCAAACTGAGCACGGCATAATGCGGAAGATAGTGGGTCGCAGAATCATGGGTAGGGAGCGCACCTCTCTCAATTTGTTGCGATCGAGATATTCTTGAATCACTCCGTCATATTTGGTTTCAGTTGACTTTCACTTTTTAGGCGTTGCTCGTTTCGTCCCAGGACGAACTTTACGTTTTCAAGGTTACGAAACGGAAGGATTACTATATACTTGATGTTATCGTCTCTCGTAGTATATCGGAGGAAGTTTCCCTCATATGTCAAATCTGACGCCTTTGCCACTTTCACTGGCAGATCCTCCACCTCCCAAAATTTGGTGAGACATTTGTCAAGGGCAGTGTCCGACGCGTGAGAAATTAGCTTAGAAGGATGGATGGCAATATATCAGCCACCATCAAAATATCTATTTGTGCGCTATCATGGAACTTTGGATCCGCCAGTGGAAAGTGGGGGAGGTCCCCGACCTGTTCGGCGAACGAATGGTAAGCTAACAGAGCTTTTTTGACCCA